TCAGATTGCCGGTAGCTCTGGCTACATTGGCACTGGACAAGTCGGTGGGCCAGGAGCACAGCCTTTCATTTGCTAATAAAGCAATGAGTTTAATTTATGTGTCAATGAGTGAAATCGACTGCGACAACAGTCTTATTTGGTCCATGCTGGTAGATCTTGCCATCTTTGACATTGCCATGTGCACACATGATGTAGTTGGACGTGCCATTGCTAAAGATCTGCGGTACACTATCGAGATTCTCCAAGATGGGTCTTTGAAAGTAGTAGATCAAGCCGCGTTTGTCGTAGGTTTGAGAGATGCCGATGGAAGTGCTGTTTGGTTGGGTTTCGACTGGATAGCGGTAAATGAGTCTTCCTTGGATCTCTACTTCGTACTGGTAGACATTCAATGTGTCATTAATGACAGCAACCATAGCACGCGATCCAAGCATGGAACCAGTGGCACTGAATCCAACACCTACCCACATGTTTGGATAGGCGTTTGGGACGTGAACTCTGATCTGAAGAGCATCAGTGTTGGCAGTCACTGGTTGGTAAGACACCAGAACAGCAGTGTCGTTTTCAAAGCAGTTGAAAGAGGTCCAGGCAAAGACAGTAGGAAAGAGCATGAAGTTACCAAATTCTGGGGTTTTTATTTCTGTTCTGACTCATTCGAGTCATGGTTGCACAATGACACATTTCTGTTCATGTGGTCTTGAGAGTCACTGTGCCAGTGGATTTGTCATGTTTGAGGACTTGTTTCATGAACTTGGCCAGTCTGTCCTTGTTGCGCGCGTCTCTCCTGAGATGTGTTCGCATTGCAGCGACAATTTCTTTGACAGTGCAAGATCCGTTGACTTGACGCATAAAGTCAACCACATCGCTTGCTTGAAGCAATCCCTGTGCATCCTCTGCCTCAATAGGTGCGACTGGTTGTGGGACTGGCGGTGGCGGTGCAGCAGGCAATCTGACGACATTAGGTGGTGGTGAGCTAGAAGTTTGCCTGAGAGAAGATCTGCGTTGTCTCTCAAGTTCCTGAATGACTTGTGCAGCAGATGGTGGTGGTGGCACACTGCCCTCTGTTCTTGGTCGCTTTCTGGCACTTTCAGCATCAGAACCTTCTCTCTTGATCGCAGTCATTGAATCAGGAGACATGGATCGAGACAGTGACTTCTTTTTCAAGAGTTGTTTGACTGTTTCTTGTGCTTCTTTTTCATCCTTGTCGCTCTCTTCGTCATCTGAGCCGTAAGGGTTGAAGTCGTCTTCATCATCATCCAGCAAGACATCCTGATCGTATTTCTTGAGTGCTTTGAGCATGGATTTGCCAACACGCTTCTTTTTTGGTTCCTCATCGTCATCACTCTCAAACGTTGCTTTTGCTTTGCCCAACAGACGACGCTCAGCTTCCTTTGCTTCTTCTTTGTCTCTTTTAAAGTGACATACCTTCGATTCCCAGAACCACTTCTTCGTCATCTTCAAAGACTTCATCAAAGTCCATGCCATCGTCATTTTCGAGTTTCTCTTTCTTGATTTTTGGCTTTTCCTTGTCAGTCAATGACTCTCCAGCCAAGAGCTTCTGTTTCCAAGATTTCTGGTCTTTCATCATCCAACGCGATGGTTTCTCTTTCATGCGCTCTTCTGCCTCTTCCACAGTCAGTGTGCGGTAAGAGAGCTTCTTTGTGAACTTGTACCACTTTGAACAGGGAATGACTTTGAATCCATTGTCCTAGACTCAAATCCAGTACAGACGACACAAAGAGCACATAGTTGGATCCACCAGTCTCTCGATGACCCAAATACTCTGTCTGATCATCATCTTTGAGCACCCACGGGTGTTTGTCCTCACTCGTTTCTTCCTCATCATCCCTGCCCATAAACAGTGCTTTGGTCTTCTTTTTGAAGGGAATGTTTCTCTCTTCCTCTGGTTGTTCCACTGGTTGTGGTTCAGGTTTGTGTCTTTGTAACGTCACTGGTGGTTTCAAGTCCTCCAGTTTGAATCTGTCAGATGGGATTTTCATGACATGGTGGTAATCTACTGGTCCAGCACTGAACAATTGAAATTCCTGTTCCATGGGAAAGAATGAGTGTCGTGTCTGAGAATTTGTGCCAACTCACATCTACTGAAAGCTCTTTCCTGGATGCTTGTATTCGCGATTGCAGTCAAAGGCGATTTGCTCTCAGACTGTCTGTCGGAACCTGGAAACCAACAGTGCAAACAGCTCATTGTCAATGACAGCGACAGTATTGAGGACATTAAGCAGCTGTGTGACCAAATGGACATGCCAGGATGCACATTGTTCAGAAACTGCAAGACAAACGATCCCTTTTGCAGACCGTTTTCTATTCTAGGAGACTTGTGCTCTGATATGCCTAAAATGAAGGGATGTCAGACGTACACCAAGTTGTGTGCTTCTGGCTCTGTTGTGCCTCAGTGTCAATCTGAACCGCCACTGATGACATTTCCCAAGACATCTCAAGCACGCAAGCTTGTGCAGGACATTTGCAAGGAAATGGACATGCCTGGGTGTCAGGAATGCACGAGATCTTGCGATTACATGGAAACTTACATCGATTTGTGTCAACAGATGCCCAAAATGTCACAGTGTCAGCTTTATGACTCGATGTGTGTGTGGGAGCCTAATCTGTGGTTCTGTGAGACATTTTCAGCACCACAGATGAAGATGTTCTTCCACACTGGGTTTAGAGACTACATCTTGTTTGAATCATGGCTACCAAACAGTTTTGGAAGCTATCTGTTGGGATTGTGCTTTTGCTTTGCACTTGGTTTCGGTTACGAGACCTTGATCATGTACACACACGAATTTGAGCAAGCAACGACTGGCGATGTCTCTGTTGTTGAAGATCCAGGCAATGATGACTTTAGGCCACTCTTGCTCTCACATGCAGCCAGGATCCGAGGTTGGTCTCCGTTGAAACTGCGATTGGCAAAAGCAGGACTTCGGTTTGTGAATATTACCATGGCTTACCTGTGCATGCTCTTGGTCATGTCCTTTAATCTGGGATTGTTTCTCTCAACTGTTCTAGGGATTGCTGTTGGTACCTTTTTCTGGACCAACTCACCATCTAAAAAAGAGCATTGCTGTTAATTCATGTTGAGACTCGGATGGCGTGTGAGGAGATCAAATCACGCCTTTTGGCGAGCCAATTCTTTGATGGAATTCCTTGAACCTGAGCAAGTGAAGGAACTGTTGGAAACCAAGACAATCAACAAAGACTTTGTGATCGTCGATGTCAGAGGAGATGACTTTGCATCAGGTAACATTCCAGGATGCACTCACATTCCAAGCGACGAGTTTTTGGAGCTGAAGGAGTATCCGTTTGAACAAGTCCCAACTGTGATCTTCCACTGCCATCTGTCCCAAGTCAGAGGACCCAAATGTGCCCAGAGATTCAGCACCAACACTGGCAAGAAAGCCTTTGTACTCAAAGGAGGCATCAGTCAGTTCCAAGCAAAGTTCAAGGACACCAAGTTCATTGAAAACCACAATCAAGACTTTTGGGATGCAGAATGATGCTCTGATGGCGTCAGTGTCTTCTACACTCAGAATTTCTACCTGACTAAATGCATGTATGTCTCCAATCTCTTTTTTTAAGGCATCGTTGACCAATCGGTGTCTCTGGAGTGTCTTGAGTCCCTGGAATTTCTCAGAAACGATCACTACTTCGAAAGACTGTCCGCATCCATCTGATGTGTCTGTGATTTCCAGGATTGTTGGTTCTAGCTTTTCTCTGATTACTTGTTCCAGTGCTTTTGACGAGACAGGCATTGTTCGGAAAGTCTTCCCTCGGAGTTCGCTCCTTTCAGTGTCAGCCGTAATCTCCACACCAGTCCAAGATGTCTCTGATCCAAACTAGTCCAAGATGTCTCTGATCCACACGAGTCTAAAAATGTCTCGCATGAATACGACACCAAGATGTCAGATCCACACCGATCTAAAGATACCTAAGAGTCTAAAGACGTTGGAAACACAGATGACAATATGCACCCACATTCTCTGCGCCACACCGCTTGAAAGCAATTTGCAAATTGCGGCTTCTTTCCAAATGCTGCTTGTTGCTGCCGCTCTGATCCCATTCCAGTTGTCCAGATTTGGTCCAACGAGATACTGCATGACCCAGTACCCAAGCAGCCCATACGGTCTCATTTCATACAGAGCACTGGAAGATCAATACCAAGGCTGCCTTGACAACGTGTTGCTCTACGACACTGAAAAAAAGACATTGCAGACACAAGAAGTCGTCAGAGATGGTCAACTCGTCGCCCGTGGCGGTTTCATCAACGTTCTCGACTCCAACTTCTTGCAACTCACCAACGTGTCTAATCCAGCGATTGAGTTTGACATTGTGCCTGCCAAGTATCCAGATCTTGGTCGACTCTCTGCCACCATTCAAGGCAAGCAATTTGTGTTGGACTCCTATGCCGGCGAAGCCAGATTCTTTGAAGAGCCCTACAATCAGTCCTATGCTGGTGTCTTTCTCGTACCACAACCCACTGATCCAATTGCATTCAACATCGCTATCGACCTTGGCAACGGCACCATGCGCTGTCCAAGATTGACTGCTCGTAAAGCATTAGACTTTGCTGCCTTGTATCGAGACCAAGAACCAGAAAACTGCAAGAACAACACTCTCTACTATGATCCATCTGGATATGTCTACATCAAATCTCAGGGCACGATCTCTCTATTGGTTCCAAACTCATTCAACACCATCACGACCGATTCTGTCTTCACTGGGCAATTCATCTATGCTCCTCCTCAGTTCTCTGAGCAAGGAAACATCACGTACCAATCCAACGGTCAAGTTTTCAAATGGATCACTTTCCGTGGATTCGTTGAAGGGACGCAAGACATTCTCACTACAACGGATTATCAAGTCATCCCAGCAATCAACTAAACTCTAGACTTTTACCCTTTCAACTTTGAAATTGACTCGAAAATCTCACATAGAAAAAATACTAGCTCTAGGATTATAATAAATTGCAAAACAGCACCGGCTAGGCAACTATGGTCGAGTGGTCTAAGACGCAGCACTTAAGATGCTGTAGCGAAAGCTGCGTGGGTTCAAACCCCACTGGTTGCACTTTTGCTTTTTTCATTGATTTCTATTCTGAGTTGATGAGATGAATGGGGAGGTGTCGGATGTTTTCTATGCGAGACAACGAGAGCATCGCGACATCGTACTTCATCTCTCCAAAATGGCTGCTGATTATTCGCATCGTCTTGTTTCTGTACGTGATGTTCAACTTTATTGCTGGTGCCATGCTATCTGGAGCAGCACAGTATTTTCGATTCTTCACGAACCTGAACTGGGCTGCCATCAGCATCTACCTCTTGCTCGTTGTGTTTGCTTCGTTGACACATGTTCTAGGCGACAGGATGCCCATCAAGCTGTCTTACACCTCGGCACCGCTTCTGTATGATTTCATGTTCGTGAATGTGACTTGCCTGTCTTGGATCGTGTCAATTGTGTACTGGGCACTCTTGACACAGTATCTGTTTTCTGATATTCCAACTTACTACCGAGTCGTGAGTGCTGGACCTCACACGCTGAATTGGCTTGGAATGATGTTTGAACTCGTGTTTACTAAGATGACCATGGAAAAGTGGATGGTGACACTGCCACTGGTGTCCATGTTTCTCTATCTATTTTACGTCGTTGTTTGGAAGTTCGCGGGTTGGTCATATCCGTATGCATTTCTAGACTTCATGTTCTCGCAGTGGTATCTCTCTCTGCTTGGCATTCTAGGATTTGCAGTCTTTACAGTCCTGGTGTTCTTTGTGAACTACTTGATCATTCATCTCAGAGACAAGTCACAGCGAAAGAAGATGTTGAGAGTGTATGATGAATTCGTTGAAAAGGCGTAGATAAATTACGTTGACGGCATCGATCCGACCAAGATTGATGAAATGAATATGGAATATGTCGGACACTTGGTCTGTGACCATAAAGCATATACTCATTTGTGGACCGATTGCCATCTCTTTGATGACTCTGATGTCTCGGTTCCCTGACAGCGGCGAAACTGCCCCCGTAACGCCAACGTTTCACAGACTTGCCCAATGATCCACATTCTTAGAGCTGTTTTCCTGCTACTGGTCTTGACAGTCGCTGTGTCTGCATGGATCACTGGTGGATTCCTTGGCTGGTTCATTTACTACACCGACTGGTCTTGGCTCGGCATTGCACTGCATCTTTCTCTCATGCTCTTGACACACTACAAGTTCATGGAATACAAGCGCATGCCAAGACTGTATGATTGCCTTTTGAGCTGTGTGGTCACAAATGCTTGGCTGGTTTCCATCATTTTTTGGACTTTGCTGTACTCGTATCTTGGCACTATTGGCAACACTTTTGACAAGATCCTCATGGTAACACCGCATTCGTTGAACATCATCATTGCTGGATGTGAGCTTGTTTGGACACGCCAAGAAATCAAACGCATTCATGTGCTGTGGCCGCTCTCTGCCCTGCTGCTCTATGCTGCCTTTCAGATCATGCTCAAGAATGCCTTTCATGTTCCGTACGCCTATCCGTTCTTTGACTATATGATGTCTGCTAGTTGGTATGTCACTGTTCTTGGATTCGTGATCTTTTCGGTTCTGATTGCCTTTTTCTTTGAAATCAACATCTGGATCCACTACTTTGTCACCAGAAGGAGATCCAAGGAACAAGATTTGGACTCTGAGTCACATGAAAAGCATTAAAGCGGCAAAACTTTTACCGACACAATTTCACTCACGGAACAAACACCTCTTGTCCAGCCTGATATGCCTACAACCTCTTTTGTCTCCTCTAGAGCAGTGTTGAACATCAGAATTGCATCTCTCTTCTGGGTGCTCTTCAACATGCTTGTTCCCATGTCCTCAATGGGATTTATTGGCTACTTTCTCTTCTTTACTGACTTTTGTTGGCTAGGAATCGGTCTCTTGTTAGGATCTGGCATCTTGGAACACACCATGTCCATCAGACTGCCATATCTTCACAGGATTCTGTTTTCAACAGCAACAACACTCTCTTGGATTGTCACAATTGTCTTTTGGGTCCTTTTGGGTGGAGCGATTGCACAACAGGATGGATTCTTGAACAAAGTCTTGATTATTGCACCACACACTCTCAACTTTGTGTTTTCACAAGCAGAGCTGTGGTTGACGAGACACAAGCTTGAATGGTCTGATTTTGTGTGGCCCATCTTGGCACAGACACTATACACACTCTACGCCATGATCATGAATGGACTGGGTTATCCCTACGTCTATCCATTCCTCAGAGACATGATGGCCAAAGGGGATCTTGGCGAGATTGTATTTGCTATTTTGTTGAGCATCGTCAGTCAGGCAGTGTTCTTTGCCATCAACAAGCAGTTTATCAGACTCCGAGACCAATGGGCAAAACCAAAACAGCAATAAATCGAACAGCAACGACAATGGCAGTCAATCAATAGTGAGATGCACGAGTATCTGCACTTTCTGTCAAAACAGTTGGCAACAGCAGAACTTGCAAGAGATCAGACAGTTGTATGAGATGCTCTCTGACGGTCGATGGATGCCACAGATCCATGACCACAGATGAGATTGTTGAAGGACAAGAGACTCAAGGAACACTGCAGCAGAGTGATGGTACAGAAGCAGGAGTGGAATGGCAGCTGTGCTAGACTCAGGAGACATCTGATGCAACTCCAGGACACAAATGCATGGATGACACACTTGCTTGAACAGGAATGCAGCAATCGGATCCACAGACACTCTGGTCACAAACACCCACATCTGTCAACTAAGCGTGCCTTTGCTTGCTTTAATGATCTATTGTCCTGTGGTTGTGTTGATGATCCAGAGAGATGCAAGTCTCAACTGTGGATCATTTGTGGCTGGCATTGTGGACGCTATCTTGGACTGTCTGCAATTTGTGTCATCTTGACACTGGCATGCAGAGTGGCAGCACAGTGTAGATCCAGAGACCGGCTGTGTTGGCGTTGATTGCCAACCGATTGCAAGTGAAGGCAGATGCTGGAGATCACAGAGTGACTGTACAAGAAGAGGCATTCATACTCTATGACAAACAGCAGCCACCAGAGACTCAAGGCGATGTGGACTGCATGCGTGAGGACCAGCATCTTGACCAATAGACACACAAATAGACTAATTATAAGCCAGGTTATTCAGTATGCCAAAACGCGACAAACAAGCGTTGGAAATTCGCTGGAAAAAGCGCAATAAATCGAACAAGGGTTTGAAGTTTGACCGCAATGCTGCCACGCGAAATTTGGCTCAAGATTTCGCTGCATTTGGAGCACAAGTCCATCATTCTCTTGTCACAAACATGCAAGTCACTCTCTCAGATCATGCGTGACGATTTCTTGTGGCTGTCGATTGCTACCAGAGATTATCCGAATTTGAAGCCCTTGCTGATGACAGTGTACAAAAACAACCCATTGGAGTCGATGCTGATGTATTACCAACTATTTCTGACAAAATATGGACACTTGCATGGATTCTGGCAACAAGACTACTCGTTCTTCTACGGCGGATTGATTCAGATCGTCTTCGGTCCAAAGGATCTCTTGAGAGTCAGACTCCTGGAACCCATTCACTCGAGAGTCGAACATGTGGAGCCCTTTAGCTTGGATAATTCGATCACCGTGGATTTGTCACCTGGACTGTCGTTTGACTACAAGTACCTTGGTCGTTTGAACACTCAAATGGAACTAGAGTGTCTCTCTCGCACTGACATCCACAAACTAACGATCGAAAACGTTGCAATTCAAGAGGAACCTGGCATGTTGAGTCCAGATGTCTCTGCCATCGAAGTCAGCGAACGCATTCAATCCAACCGTAATTGATCTGAATACAGGATTTCCGTTGGGACAGCCATCACGCACCACTGGGCTATGGCCCTATCCATCACCACACAGCATATCAGAAGAAACACTCTCTTCCTCACCTAGACAAAGCACACTCATTACAGACGAACGCAGGGTCGTCAGACTCCAATGCGCACACAACTGCCACTGCCAAAGAGTCAGATCTGTCATGATGAACTCTGAGGGAATCGCAGTGCCACACACTCTCTTATACACACCAGCTATTTCCAAGATACTTCTTTCACCTTCTCCACACGATCAACTTGACATTGCACTCGATAGCATCTGGCTTGGGGCTTATGGTAGCCACGGGACAGAGTTTATTTACTTGACTGTTGGCTCTGAGCCTTTTGAAGCAGACAACAGACCCTGTCTCATTGCCTACAAACTCACGGGTGACGTGAATGTCCCAAGAGGCGAAATCACGTTTTACTGTCCTATAGATGTCAAGAGCCAATACATTGGATCCAGTGAGAGGAGATATCCTCTCAAGGATTCAACAGAGTTCAAGAACATGTTTGCGTTTGCTGGACACGGACGTGTTGCCATGATGGGATTCAGAGATCCTACACTCGTGAATTGTGACGGTATTTTGGTTGATCGTAGTCATTGTCAAGTCTCGCACAGAGATCTTCATATTTTGGCGTGAGTTGCAGTGCATCTCGCGTTTAGAAGCGTTGGTACCAATTCAAGTCTCAAATTGAGTTTAGTGATGACAAATAAAAAGATTAATCGAACTTGATCTTTGTGCCAGCTGGCTTAAAGCCCCCTCTGTTGCTGTTGAAACCGCCTCTGCCGCCTCTGCCACCGAAACCGCCTCTGCCACCACGAGCCCCGCCCCTGGCTCCACGACCGTTACCACGACCATTGCCACGACCTCTATCGCCCCCAGCATTGTTGCGCTGACCAGAATAATCAAGACGAATAGCACGTCCATCAAAGTTCTGGCCATTCAGAGCAGCGACAGCTGCCTTTGCCTCGTCAACAGTGTTGAATTCAACATAGCCAAAGCCCTTGAAAGCACCAGTGTCCTTGTCGGTTGGGAATCGCATCGAAAGAATGGAGCCGTGTTGACCGAAAGCGGTACGGAGCTCATCTTCAGCAACGTTGAAAGAAAGGTTGCCCATGAACAGAATGTTGCTTGGCTCAGATTGTGGCTTTTCGACTCTACCCTTGCCGTTGTTTTCTCTTGGTGGTCTAGGAGTAGAAATGTCAACACGGA